TTCTGTCCAAACATGATCTAGTTAGTGGAAATAGACAATGTGGAACACGTTTATTTCACGTAAACAGTTTTTTTTCTAAAAAAGAAATCTTTTTTGCTCTTTTGAAAGTCTATAAAATATCTATATTGTAGATTTTGTACAGATTTTCTTGACTAAAGCATTTTTTTTATCACAGTAAATATGAGTACCAGAATTCGCTTAGCTGCTGGCAAACATTATTGGCGTCTGGTTTGTAGCAAATAATGTTATTAGTAAAGAAAGTAATTGAAATTTTAAAAAAACAACCTCGACACTTTTAGTTCAGTACAAATTAACTGATTGACTTAACAACTTGTAGTTTTTGCACAAGTACCTTGGTTAAATTTGTCACACTTCAGAAAGACATACATAGGAATAGAGGATAGAAACGTAATGGAAATATAATGGTCAAAGATTTAAGAGAAGTGAAATAATTAAATGAAGACTAGTGGTAGAATGCTTACCAAGTACGAATGTAGTGCGCAGTTCGATTCCCGGCTGACTCACTCCTAGAATTCTCATAGCCATTAGTAAGCTCAGTAAAGAGCGAAGCTTAGGCATGAGACTAACAAACTCACTTTTAAAAGACACACCTGCTGCTGAAATGTAAAAGCTCAAGCCTGAAACCGTATGTTCCCCTCGGAACGGGAAGGAATAAAACAAATAAAATAAATAATACTAATCAAACTAGTGAGGATATTTAGAATTTGAAAGATGGCAAGGGATGAATGCATTTCCACCATGTCTCTAACCAGGCGGTCTCAACTTCTCCACTTTTCTCAGGCCAACAGGTAAGGACTTCATGGGTTGGTGTAATTTTTTCGATGTCACTATCTTTACCTCTTCCCAAAACTAGTCTTATTCTAGTTAGCATCTCTTTTTAGTGAAAATTGAGGTCGTACATTGGTAGCATATGTTCCAACCAGGTCAATAGAAGGCACTCCACTACCTCGTCGACTTGCTTTCTTTCCTTATTTAGAACTCTAAGTCTTATCTCGTTATTACCGACTATACCGTCTCTGTTTACATGACAGATTGAATGAAGAAATCCATTGTTGAGACCCACTAGTCTTTTCATACCGTTTAACAACATCAGAGGCCATGTGTCACAACTGTAAAGAACAATGAGGCAATTTTCTGTACAGTAAACATGACTTTTCTTGGCTAAGGTTGAAATTTCATCTGGGACAAGGATGACTCAAGCTGTTTAGTTCCAAAGGAACCCTTCGTCGTAATTCTGAGATAGCAACAAGATCATTAGGATTGATGCAACTTCCTGAATAAGCTGAGTGGTTGCTCTTAATTGTTTCAGTTTACAAGATTCATTATTATTATGAATTTATATTTCTCAATGGATGAAAAACAAAGCGAATTTGTGTTTTTACTGATGTTGCGCTACATAATGCGAGTAGCTTTATGGAAGTAGTAGTAAGCCAGGAATTACAAAATCTAAGTTTTTTTAATGATAATCTAACTTACTTTGGTGGTCAAGAGGGTATTTAGAGCCAACTCTGATTCTGCTTTATCCCATCATTCCTGTTCAGATCATTTGTATTCCATTTCATGTGAAGTGCTTCTGCAATTAGACGTGCTTTATGAGTTTTAAAGTTTGTGTGAATGATTTCAGTACCTTGTAAAACCATGACTGAACATTTTTTTTAAACTTTTCAAATTGTATTGCATTTCTTAGTGATAAAAAAGTCTCGATGTTCGTTTCTCCTCGTCTTCCCTTTTTTGGGATTTTGTCCGGTGTATATCGCATCACAGTCTGTAATTTTTACTCAGTAGACAAATATGAATTCTAAATCTTTGGGAATTTTGTTTTTTACATGAATGAAATTGCTCTGTGGCGTACCTGACTCTCTAAATAATACTTTGATGCCATGCTTATTGGATGGTGTGTTTCACATGCTTGAAAAAGGAACTGTCTTTTATCGATTAATTCGGAGCATTTTTCGACCACGCTTAACGTTCCTTATTTTAGAAATGCAGCTTCTCGGATAGTTATTTATTTTAAGAATTTCGGTCATATTGGATAGTTCCTCTTTCCCTTATTGTCAGTTATTACCAACGTATTTGCTGTTTAGGGGGGAGCAGAGACAACTGATGCTCCCTATCCATAAACTAGGAATTGTTGCATGGCAGACTTGAAACATCATCCTGCATTTGACACGGTCGAACAGCATGAAGACTTCATCAATGCACCTTCATGCGGGCCTTAAACCTAACTGGTTTCTTCAGTACCCACTAAGTTACAGCAGTACTATATTTCCAATGATTGTAGATAATATACTGATCAAATTGATCAGTCTGTGGTTATCACTGGAAGGTTTGTTCCCTTTCTTATGAACTGGGACGGTCAACAACCTACACCAGTTTGATGACATCTCAGATTTTCCTAGAAGAACTGGTTAATGTTGCATTGTACTTCTACAGTTTTTTTATACAATCTAAATCTTAAGAATAAGCATTATTCAGTTTTCCCATCAAAATGTTTGGTGATTGATTAGATAGATTGAAGTCAACAATACACAGCTTTTCATCATGTTCATTTTTTTGTACATTAGTGCAATCGCTAGCTATTTGGTCTACACAACTTGGAAACTTAACGGAATTTTGTTTGTTGATCTCCTCAACGCCACCATACAAATTTCCAGTTGTTTAATTCACTATCCAGAACTGTTCTTCTCTCATGAGCAACAGGTTCATACAATATTTCTGATTTTCTAATGTGGCTTTCGTCTAAATCATGAGTTATCGTTGCAGCCTTATTTAGTGTGTGCATTTAATCCTTTGAATTTCAGTGTTTCTCTCACTTCGGCATTGCTATCCCATTAGTTTTCTGAGATATAGGTAAATGAGGAAACTAGTCATGATTAGCTATCATGTGTACTGTATCTACTGCTACTACTGTAACAACAGAAGACAAGAGTCAGGCAACAGATCGTTTATTAAGGAAATCAAAGCATATTTATATATTTTCATGTACATTATTATAGATTAGTTAAGCAAACAAACACAATCTTCTGATTGGTTGTTTCTCACTTAAAGTTAATCTTTCATCTCTTTGTGACTGTTTCTTGAATGTCAAATTCTCTATATGTTAACTGCATCCGCCTACGCAAAGTCTGCTGTGGTCGGTTTTGAATCAGTCTTTGTTCACATTTTCTCACGACCAATATTGAGAACGTTAACATTGACGTAAATTACTGTCTACCGATTTGGCTAGTAGACAGCTCTCAGCACACTACTACTAAAGTCTTTTGATTACAGTTCACAGCATTGATTTGTTTATGACTTCATTGCATTCGACAGTTTACCACCTCCTAGTTTTGTTGATTATATATCTTACGAAAGATTGTAGTTTTCACCTTAGAGTGACCTTAATAATCAGTAGGCTCAGTGATGATTTTACTGTTGAAAGTGTGGTCAAATAAGTAGTTGATGATGGCAAAGTGTGCTTATAATACTATATTTGTAAATAACTCAAAAGAAAACAGATTTTGATGGAAATTTTCAACCCTTTTTGTTGTTCTTAGTCTTCCATCTCAGTGCTATGTGGGCTTATAAATGGTAAAAATGCGACTTGAGGAGTTTAATTCAATGATATGAATAAGGTTTTATGGTATTGTTTTGAAGTTGCAGCATATGCTGATAATAGCTCAGAGGTAGAGGTACAGAATTCAACAAATAAAAAGATATTTAGTGTGTTCTGCAACAAGATAAAGACAATTAATATAGCCATACACCTTAGTCTTTTTCTCCTTCCTTACGTTCAAACTTTAAAGTTTCAAAAGACGTGGCGTTATTTTCACGGGATGGGTTTGCTAGCTTGGCTCACCAGTCCTTTCTTACTCTCAGTTAGTTAACTAAGTGAGGCTTAGGAGTGTGTTGGCTGGGAATTGAACCCAAACCTTTCACATTAATGGTGAGTATTTGGTCGATGGTATAAGAAATGCCGTCAAGTCATTCCGAAGACATAGAATTATGAGTGTCCTAGTATTTGAATGGCTTGGCAATCTGTCGTTTACCTTCAATTTTAGTATTCTACCACTGAACCACCGACGAAAACAATTTCTGTATTCTTATATTACCAGAGAAGTTTCTTTTTATTCCGTCACGTTCCCCAGTGGAACATAGGACTTCAAGCTAGTGGCTTGAAGTTTCTATAGCAGTGTTTATTTTTACAGGATGGGGTTGCCAGCCTCATGCCCAACCTTCCCTCTGGCTTAGCGAGGTAAAGGAGTGCGCCGGCCGGGGATAGGACCCCGGACCATGTGAATGGTCGCCAAGCGTCCTAACCGCTATGCCACCGACGTACTACCAGAGAAGTAATACGCATTTATTTATGGTTTATATGACAGTTTAATGAGCTTCAGGCTTTATCAGTCATTTTGTGTATACTTTTTTCCGACCACATGTGGGAAAGTCAGATCTGATAAGTAGTTGATGCAACTTATTTCCTACCAATATTTTTAGTAATCTCTTTTGTATGTTACAGAGTGAAATACTTAACTGGCAGATTGTTGACAAAAATAAAAAATAAATTTTGTCTGTTTCTGTCTTAATATCTCAAAAATCAGTAGTCTTAGAAATTGTATTAAACCTACGTATTTAACTATGACTTTAGAGTTAATTGAGTCGAGTTTCGTGAAAAAATAACATCCAACCTTTGCTTACGGAGACACCCCATTGATAAATGAGAAATAATCCAATTTTTGTTAACGAACAACGGATGAAATTCAAACAGGGAAATTGATTTTTGACTGTCTTTATACTGTAATCGATATTTTCCGTAATTTTTTTTATTTCGAAAGGTAACTTATCTCATCAGGGAATGACTTAGGTAACTGATACAAAAAGAGGCTGTAGAAGGAGTTACCTATGCAACGTGTCTTCAGTAACATTGATTAATTTTAATTTACAAAGATACCAATATTAATTTTAAGTATCTATTAAAATTGTCTTGATTTTTATTTTAGACGAACTTGGAACCCAACCCCGCCTCATCCCCCCAAGGATCTCATCCAAATGCAGCCAATTTACCTCCCACATCTAGAATGGTTCGTCCACGATCCAGTATTGGTCCCAATGATCGAACCAATAAAGAAAGACCTGTTAGTTCAGGACCTGATATGTTTGGTCTTTTCAAACGGAGTTCAGTAAAGGTAAACGTTTTTATCATCTTAGCTGATTTATTTCAAAAATTTATATGCCGAATGGGATAATTCCTACCCTTCGATTCACCTTTATAATTAAATTTAACACCTGACTAAGGCGATTTTCTTGGTTTTACTGTTGGCGGCGTGCGTCGGTGTCACAGCGGTAAAATCCTCGCCAACAATGCAGGTGGTCCGGGGTTCTATCCCCGGCTGACGTACTCCTTTACCTTGCCAAACCAGTAATAAGACTGGTAAAGAGGGGAGGTTGGGCATGAGGCTAGAAACCCCATCCCGTAAAAATAAACACCACTGCTACTGAAACTTCGAGCCTCTAGCTTGAAGCCCTATTTTCCACTGGGAACCTAAAGGAATAAAAATAACTGTTGGCGGCATTTCTAGTTTACTTCTAATGGTTGCTTTTTCAATATGTCTACTACCATATGGTGGTATTGGTATTCATCACTGAATGTACTAGTCAGATCCAATGTTTGAACGATTTTATTTGCTCTTAGTAATACCAGTCTTCTTGGTTGTGGTTGGTGTGTTGATGTAAAATTACATTTTAAAAGAAAGGTAATTTAGCACTAGCATACTACTTAAATAGAGAATCAGCGCATCACGAAAAGCATTTCCAACAGGTCACTGCTAACTTTTATCAACATCTGCCTTCACTGCATACCTAAGATTAGATGACCAGAAAGGATGAATAACAAGGAACTCTGGGGACGAACCAACCAACAATCTATCACCGAATAAATATGCAGTAGGAAATGCGAACGGACTGGACACACTCTGAGCAGACTATTGAGTGACATTGCTCTCTACACTCTCTAATGGAAGCCGAACGGTGGGAAACGGATAGTTGGGCGTCTGAGAGTGACATGGATGAGAATCATGTGGGGAGCGAAAGTAGCTTATAGGTAATCTGCTGAAAATAGTCTGCTGCTGAGGCCGTATGTTGGTACAATATGGGCACCAAGAAATGTGCCACACAACAATAATACAACATAGCGAAAATATTCTTTCAGACATCTATAAAAAAAACAAAATAATTGAGCAAAGAATATCCTTTTCGATAATTTCCTCTTCTGACCCTACAATTACATATATGTTTATGTACATAGAATATTCTGAAGTAGTAGTCATTACTAATATTGATGTTTTTAAATAATATCGATTTGTAAAGTATGATCAATGCAATTACAGTTCATTAAAGATGCTTGAAATATAATAATAGCAACAAAGATATGGTAGCAAATAGAATATCAACTAAAATTAGGGAAATTCTACAAAAATTGAGGATCATTCAAACCTAGATGGCCAAGGTAATGATAATGTCTGAACTAACTTCTTTTGGATGCATAAATTAGGCTTATTAATATGGATCCCCACAGCCTCAGCAATGTTTAGTAGTCGAACTCTTAAGGCAAAATTGAGGTTCGTAGGTATGCGGTAAATTACCCTGAAAGCATGGTTAACGTCAGTCTTGTGTTCTGTATCCACAAGATGAGATAAAATAGCGCTGCGAATAGATTTTGTTTGTCCTTTGCTTAACTACGCAGGGTGATGTTCGGAAATTCGACGAGAAACACGCCTAATTGTACGGCCTATGTAACTGGCTCCACAGGAGCAGTTAAATTGGTAAATACACATGGAAAAGGCAAAATTAGGCAGTATTTTTTACTCCTGAATGCGAAAGAGGAGTATTTTCGAAGACAGAGTAATTCGGCAGCAGTGAATGCCCTTTTTACCGCATTCCTAAGATGTTGTGTTAGTATTTCGCTTATGTATCCCCGAGGAACTCAATTTATAAGAATAAGGACTTTTTAGGAACTGTTGGTACCTTGGGCTGCCTTGATTTCAGATTCATATTCTTATCAATAAACTTTTCTGGATAACCATTTTCACTCAGCAGCCGTTTAGTATTATTAATTTCCTCATCAAGACATTCATCCGAGCAGATTGCTCTTGCTCTGTGAACCAAGCACTTTATCTGATTGCGTTTATATTTCAATGGGAGTAAGCTGAAAAATGAGTATACTGACCAGTTGATGTAGGTTTTCTGTATACACTTCTTCTTAATTTGCTATCCTCTTTTCTCGTCATAAGGACGTCTAGAAATGAAATACTAGAGTCTTTTCTTTCTCAATAGTAAAATTTATTGCAGGATGAACACCGTTAAACTTGGCCAGGACGTTCTTTGCTTCATCATCATTTTTCATAATCAAAATTGTATCATCTATGTACCGACAATAGAATTCAAGTTCATCAGTTACATCTTTGAAAGGCCCGTTTTCTTATTTCTCAAGGAAACTGTCGGTTAGAATGGATCCTAGTGGTGGCCCCATTGACACACCATTAATTTGTCTGTATAGTACAGTATATATAGAAAATAGGGAGAGATTGAATAAAGGACGTCATCTGGAATGCAAGCAAGCATGCTTTTCAAGATCATTCAACATTTATCACTTTATGTTACTTTCAGAAAGGGAAGGAAGAAGGGAATCTGCAGCATGTTTACCATTGATTTCGATTCTTCGTCACATCTGATAACGTTTTGAGCCACCAATTTGAGCTGTTTCTGGGACCCCAACCAGGGAGTGCGTGATGCACCAACTGTTGCTAACTTAACACTAATATCCTTCATCTTAAAGTGCCACGTTATAGGCTAACCACCTTTCCGCTAGTGAACACAGACCGATACGGAAGGTTCTGTGATAACATTAGTAGCACATATCCAAGACAAAATGGCGACAGTGAATGAATGGTGATTCCTACCGTGTCGAAACATACGCCGCCGAACCTCAGAATCACTCACACTACCAGGCTAACAGCATTCTAGACTTGCAGATGAAATTACTAACTAGAATAGGTTAATGAAAAAGGGATGATTTGCATTGAAATTATGCAACTGCTGATTATCTTTTTCTTTATGATGTCTTCCATAACTAATCAATACCTGCAGATAATGTGAATGTAAGCAGACTTAATATAGTTTGTAAATTTGAAGTACATCGTAAAAAATTATTAATCAGGTATTTCGCATTCAACTGATATGTAGAACAAGCCCACCAATTGGAGTTTTTTTCTCTCTCAACATTGTCTGTCTGTTTGTTGGTATTGTTTCTCAGGATGTCAGTCATCCAGAACGTGTAAAGGAAGAAGAAAGTCCTCTGGATGAATTACCTCCGAATAACAGTAGCAACAATAACAACAGCAACAACAACAACAATGGTAGCACTAGTAGTAGTTCCAAGTCGTCATCTCGAATGTCTTTCTCAGGCCAACCGAAATTCGATAATGCATCAGATAAAAAAGCCACTGGTAGCAATCTTAAGGATACATTAAATCAATCCACGGTAATTCATTCACTTTTTATTTCTTGGTTATATTTTTGTGTATAGTTTTCTATTTTAGTTAACAGAAATAGACGGGGTTAAAATCTGCTCTTTGATATTCAGTGATTGATACTTATTATTATTATTTCCTTTAATTCCTAGAGGAACACAGGGCTTCAGCCACACGTTTCCATTGCGTTCGGTTCTCTGCTAGAGTTTTCACCTGCCTCCAGGTCTGCCTACATGCTTTCATCTCCTCTTCACATGACCTCCTCCAAGTCACCCTTGCACTGACGACCAACTCGCCGCTTCCCTTTCGCGTTCCACTCGAGCAATGGCTTGTCTAGTGATGTCACTTGATGTTTTGTTTTCTCAGAGTATGACCAATCCATCTCCATTTCTTCCTGCCTATTTGTTTCACAATCGGTTCCTGGTTGGTTTTCTCCCACAGGTCCCTATTGCTGATCTGTTTTGGCCATCTGATCTTGATTAGTATTGAGCGAAGACAGTTGTTGATGAGGGTCTGTAGTTTGTTTGAGGTGCTCTTTATGACGCGCCAAGTTTCTGATCCGTATAGTAGCACTGACTTCACATTGGAGTTGAAAATCTGGACCTTATTTTTGATGCTGAGTTCTGTTGACCTCCAAACAGACTTGAGAGTAATAAAAGCTTGTCTTGCTTTCCCGATCCTTGCTTTGATATCCTCGTCAGTTCCGCCTGTAGTTGAAACGGTGCTTCCCAAGTAGGTAGGTAAACGAGGTTACCTCTTCCAGATTTCTCCCATTTATGCTGACTGATTGTTGTCTGTTGTTGTTGCTGTTGGTGGTGTTGCCCAGGAATCTTCATCACCTCTGTTTTCTCTATGTTCACCTGAAGTCCGATGTTTATTGGATGCATTGTGTAAGCAGATATTAAAGGTGTAAGAAGGGATGACTAATTGTAAGTTAGAAAATAGAGAAAAGTAGGCATGATGTAATAAGTGTGAGATAATGACTAATCAATAAGCTCGTGTAGAATGGACAAGAACTAGTGGAAAGGTGATAAAGTGTTTTTATTATAAAAATCTGTATGGAAAAACAATGTTATTAATAAACAGTAAAAGAGTGGTAATAAAATGTGGATGATGGGAATAATAATGATAATAAAAGTATTAATAACAAAAATAATATAATAATAATAATAGTGAACTTACATAATAAAGAAGAAGTAAAATTATTGTAAGAACTTTACTCTGGCCATGGTAGGGCGAGAGAATGTATGTATCGCTTTTGAATGCAAAGGTCCGGTTTCAGATCTCGAATAGCTGATGCTTTAGCTATGTACAGATGGCGTATCCGAAGTCCCTTTGTACGATATTGGGGGACTCTGTGTATCACTGTGAAGCATTCATGTGGGGGGTGCTCGATGTCCAGAGATGACAAGGTGTTCGAGGGTCGAGCTGTTGCTATTCTTCTTTTCTCCTCTGGATAATCAAGCTGGACAGTGTTCCAGAATACTTTTGTGGATTTGACGTTGCCTAGGGCCTATATACTTTGCTCCACACGAGCAAGTAAATTGATAAATACATATTAAAGTGGCCAAAACCGGTATCTTGTCCTTAGCGTTAGACTGGATTAACTGTCTGCAGGAGAATGTGATACGTAGGGTGGCTATTGGAAATGTCTTCTTCAGACATTTAGAAAGGCGGTTTCTGAGAATTTCCGCTGCGATGTCACCTTTGAATTTTAGGTTCATGAAAAGAGCATATATTTGTTTTCTTTCTGTGTAGAATCATATCCTAGCGCCCGCCATCTGTTACTTCTTTGGAAAAGGAAAATTAATATTTTCTGTGCATAGCCTTAATTTAGGGATAATAGTATCACTTACTTATTTTATATTCACTGAATGGTAGTCAAAAGTGTGTCTCCATCACATGCATATCATAGAGGGAATGGTGTTTTTTCAGCCGAAAACGAAATGAAAAAGTTTGTAGACTTCCTACTTCCAAATATGCTTCTGTTAAGTTATGCTTGTAAACATTCATTCCTATTGTAATGATCATTAGCGGTACTTTTTTATACTAAAGTTCTTACTAGATTGTAGGGATGCACATTTAATTAAAGGTTTTGTACCTTCAAAATATTACGTGATATGGAGTGAAACTCATAACAGTAAAATAGCCTACCTGCATCACTGATATAAAATTTGTCATTATAAGTAGTAATATTGCTTTGAAATATGTATTTTTCGTCTACGAGCTACCTCGCCTTTGTAACCAGAAGCTCCTGGGCCTTAACCCCGGTGGGTGCGCACTGATGAAGAGTCCTAAACTAGGACGAAACAGCTGGCTGTCCAGTACTCCCTGTAGGTTTTCCAATGGTTCCCTAGCTGATGTCAGCTCATGATGAAATCCTCCAAACAATCAAACTAAATCCCTACAAAAACCAGTACTTGAAAATAGAATTTTTTTTCTCAAAAAGAAGTGTATCATGTCCAAAAACCAACGTCACAATTTAAAGGGAATAGAATCGTCATCATCGTCATGAATACGGCGCCTCCGTTCACTTTTCCCCTTAGCACTAATCGTTTTTTTACTATGTTCTTTAGTAATGCACTAAATTTTAAGGCATTAAAATTTGTATTTAAGGTAAATTTTAACATTTTCTAAGATTGTTTCAATATTTCCTTAATCCATAGTTCGCATCGTAATGATTTTATTTTCCTCTCCCAATTTTTTCATAATTGCGCGCACACACACACACACACATTCACACACACCATGAGATGTACATGTGCTTTTACACCTTGACTTGTTTTACTAACACACACACACACATCACTACAAAGTTCACATTATGCGTGTTTACTAAATACAAAAAATAATCTGTAGCACTGTATACGAAGTTTTGCTACTATCTGATGCAAATTAGTTGTTATACTCATTATCATTATTTTTTTTTGTAGCTGTACATTATCATACTAATTAAGTCAAATAATTTGTATTGTTTCAGTAGTATCTATCTATCTATATATTTATATGTGTAAATGAAAAGCTTGTTATTTACGCCTCCTTCAGTGATAATCCCTAGTATCAGGTTTAATCTCATTTATCAACCTGATTCAATAGCTGTATGATAATGCTACTGTAACGACAGAAGGCAAGAGTCAGGCAACAGATTATTTATTAAGGAAATCAACGCATATTTATATATGTTTTCATGTACATTACTATGGTTATGTAAACAAACAAACACAGTCTTCCGATTGGTTGTTTCTCACGACTTCATGTACATTACTATGGATATGTAAACAAACAAACACAGTCTTCCGATTGGTTGTTTCTCACGTCAAATCTTGGGAACGTAAATATTGACGGAAATTACTGTCTACCAATTTGGCTAGTAGACAGCTCTCACCACACTACGTGTCAGGTGATCTACAACAGGAAACTCGGCGAGGCATTCGAAGTGAATACAGGAGTGAGACAAGGCTGGCTGCCTGTTTATTATCACCAACGATGCTATTTGTAATTGTGGTGGACTGGATTATGCGTCAGACTGTAAATGGGAGTGAGAAGACAGGGATACGTGGTACCGATAAGAAGACTTTACAAGATCTGGGTTTCGCGGATCATTTATGCGTAGTGTTTCACAAACTTGAAGACTTACAGGCAAAAAGCAACCAACTGGCAGGAAAGGCAGGACTTCAAGTAACTTATAGAGAAGATGGAGGTGATGAAGATAACCAACGAACTGCAACAACTACAACAACCAGCACCAGTCATCATCATCAACGAGATAAATTTCAAAGAGGTCACTTTCTTCACTTATCTAGGAAGCATGGTTTTAACCACAGGCGGGACGAGTGAAGATGTCAAAGGCGGGCAGAATCGGAAAGGCAAGATACGCCTTCATCAACGTGAAACCCATTTGGAATTCTTCTGTGCTTAGCACCTCAAAGAACAAGATCCAGATTTTCAACACAAATATGAATTTGGTCCCTCTATACGGGTCAGAAACTTAGTGGGAAAACGAAAAGAATTTCCAACAAGTTACAGACTTTTATCAACATCTGCCCGCTTCCATGACTCCATATTTGAAGATCGAATGGCCTGCTGGCCAGAAAGAATTAGCAACAAGAAACTCTGACTGAGAACAAACCTACAAGTGAGAGCCGATTGCTCAACAAATATGTAGGAGAAAATGGAGATGGGTCGGTCATATGTTGAGGTGGCTGTTGAAAGACACCGTGCGCAATTCTGGCCATCGCTAGAGTGGAATCCCAATGGGAAGCGATGAGTAGGTAGTCCTAGGGTGACATAGAGGAGATTGTGTGGCGAGGAGGAGTTGAGAGATCATGGTCAATCGTGGACCCAGTTGAAAAGGATAGCAGAAAGTAGAACAACGTGATGTGTTGTTGAAGCTGTTCCACTTGGAACCCAAAGGAATTACAATAATAATAAGGTTTAATCTCACGACACAGCCCGTGTTCACAGACTGATTCGTCTATATGATTTGTTGTTATTGATGCATACATAAAATAGGATAGTTTCTTTTATGAATTGAATGCTAGTTTTCATCATAGGTGTTTTATTGATTTTTTTATAAGCACTACTGGCTTTCATAGCCTTATGAGAATATCTTCTATTTTCTTTTATTCTTCCGAGTGGAACGAACATAGGAGCTTCAAGCTTTGAAGGCTTAACAGTGTTGATTTTATTTTTGTAGCGTGAAGTGTGTGTGCAGCTTCACATCCAACCTTCCCCTTAATTTGGGCTTACTGTCTAGTAGTAGTAGTGTAACAACAGAAGACAAGGGCCAGGCAACAGATCGTTTATTAAAGAAAATCAACGCATATTTATAGATTTTACTGTACATTATTGTAGATTATTGTTAGTAGAAAATACAATCTTTTGATTTGTTGTTTCTCGCAGAAAGTTAACCTTGCATCTCTTTATGGCTGTGTCAGATCATCCATAAGCTAACTGTATCCGCCTACGCAAAGCCTTTGTTCTCATTTTCTCACCACCAATATTTGGGACA